AGTAATTACTTTGATATTCAGTAAGCATATCATCTCTATTAGTAGTACCATTGGCAACTATTAACCAGATTTTTTTAATGTGTGTGTTTCTTAGCCACATGTGATTACAGCTGTGTTTATATTCACCACGTGTACTAACTTTGACCTTCCAATTTTAGCAGAATATCCGGTTTCAGGATAAAGATCGTAATTTCATAAATCTTTGACATGACATATTCACTTTTCACTCTAAACTATAACAGAGACATGGTTTAGTATAGCACAAAGAAAAACAATTGGTGTTCAGATGATTAAGATGATGGACCATTACCGACGTTTCGGTCCGTCTATAATGAGTTACCTTCAAGATAGCAGTGACAGCGGTTTTCTCTGCCACTCGACTCAGAGCAGATTAACAGTCCAAAACCACCATTACTTTGTGCTGGAGAAGGTCCTTAAGATACGTGCCGTTATGTCCTATTCTTCTATTACCTGATTGGCGAATTCTATTGTGTTTTGCTTTAATATACTATTTATGTTATGCTAAAATGTGACTAAGCATGAACAAACCACTACAAATTTTCTCTTCTCCAATGTAACCTACCAAGGTATACAATTTATTATGCTTTCTCGCGATATTGCCCCCCCCTTCCCCAACTACCTTTTTCTCGTAGTTGTCATTGCCTTCATTTTTGCGTTGTTCATAATGCATATTTTGAATTTTTTTCTTCTGACAATTCTTTACTTGTTGTTGCTGTCGTCACTATCACTTATTTGGCCTGCTCCAATCGGTTTCACCTCTGTCAGTCAGGCACAATATATGCTACAAATTTAGATAGTCTTTTTTCCACAGTATATACGCGTACTCTGACGGCACAGAGAGGACTTCCACGTCAGCTGCGACGATATTCCACAGATTAATAATAACTTGTCCAACTTTCTCGGGATGCTTCAAGGGATCGGGATATCATTAAGCCTAATCGACGTGGTGTCATCTGATGGACGTTTCAACATATGCTCAAGGATTGTTCTGGATTTGGATATATGGCATATAAATCCTGTTGTGAGACAACTGGAAAACAAAAATTATTAATGGATTCTAGCTTTCTCATGTCTTCGATTCTAAGGGCTCAGTTGTCAAATGCGTAAAGGATGTTAGAGCTGATGGCTGGCGGTCTGCCGAACTCGGAACTTCGTCTTCAGAGTGACCTCCGAATCACCTTCACTTCCTCGTCCTTCAAACAGATCTTCAAGGTAACCACAGCGGTGAAAAAAAGCAAACCTTCATATCCTTCGTACTCTCAGGTCGTCCGGTACTTTAATCAGTCACCTGCTATCTGTTCACTTACTAAGGCCGAACTGATTGGCTATTGCTTTATGCTTCAAAAACAACTGCAGAGCGATACGGTATAATTAAGGTTTTTCGTAGATTCTTTAAACGTTCATGACAAAGGACTTCGTGTAATCTTGGGCCCGAACGGAACCGCTGGAATCTTTGCCAGTTACCGGGCAGAGTACTTGAGTACCGTAGGCGGAGTCGTTGATCAGGTACGAGTTGCTGTCACGCTGTTGCCCTCTTTGGTGACTTATAATTTTGAAGATTTTTGGAACCGGATTTCTGATGCTGTGTATTATGGCCGTTACCGACGTCCGTAACGCGAATGTGCCGAGGCATCTCGTTCCGTTGCTCATCGGTCTGTCGGTGACCGTTATTGGAATGGCATATGGCGCCAACTGTGGCTACCCGATCAACCCGGCCAGGGATTTTGGGCCTCGATTAGTGACCGCAATTGCTGGCTGGGGTTTTGATACATTCAGGTAACTCCAACAGCTGTACTATTTAAGTACCAGTAATTTGCGCATTTTCTTGTAGAGTTCAAAACTACTGGTTTTGGGTCCCTCTCGTTGCTCCTCACATTGGTGCCATTTTGGGAGCGTTTCTGTATGAATTCTGTATTGGAATACATTGGCCACAGGAGCATCAAATAACTCAGGACAGTGCTCGCCGTCCGGGCACGAAAGTTATCGTTCCAGTGGAAAAGTACGAAAGATCCGAAGCTATGTGAATTTGCATCCTGCATCTGCTCTGTTGTATATCAAGTTTTTATTTCGGGGAAGTTATTGCTGTATTTTGAGTTTATCGACTACTTTCAGGATTTGTACGTATAATTAATCGAAATGCCTGCAGTGTATTTGTTCCTGTATGGATGCTTGGCTTCCAAATGGTTTTTATGAAGTTTTTAACATGAAATTCTACATAAATTTAATAACTTCGAAAAATGCATAATCATGTGAGGTGGATCAAAGTGCTTCACGCAAATCAACGTCAACAACACTGTGATTACATCCCGCTAGGACGTCAGAGCAAACAGATTATGATTGATTTTTTGTTTTAATGGAACTTATTAAGTAGGGCGGGACTAATATGCATCTGAGTTGTAATTTGATATGAGTAAAAATGTTCTCACACGGTGCGGTTCGGTCAAGGCAAGTGTGCCTTCACATGACTGCAAACAATCGCAACAAAATTACATGATCACCCTCCTTGCTGAAACCCCGAGAGATGCCATGGGGCACATGGTCGGGACGCTTGCTCCAGTAGACCCACTGGCTGCTGAATTTTTCGATAACAAATCACCAGGGGTCACGGTTTGTTGGAGTAGTGGACATTTCACCAACCACGCGTGACTGACGACGGTGTTCTCTCCACAAATCCAATCTTGACAGGAAAATCCTACCATTGTAAAATGTGCGAACGGGATTTACTTTCCTTACTGATGAAACCTGAAACAGCTGGATGACTAAACAGTGATAATCAAAGGATGACAATTTTCATCTTCCATCACCACTTCTTTTTTTGGGTCGCGGAGGCAGAAGCGCCAGACAATGTCTCCAGCGTTTCCGATCATGTGCCAGAGTCT